AATGGGGAATACTGAGTATATAAAATTGCCCCCTCCCTCCTCCTCCCTTCTTTTCCCCAGTCTTAACCCGTAGGTAGGGTAGGACAGTTCAGTCCAGTCCTGATCAGTCCCTATCCTCCGTATATCAATGTTGGGTGTAGACTTGTTCATTACTTCTGTAATCTGTTTAGGGTGTTGATATCCAACTTGGAATGGCAATTGATAGTACCAAAGCGACTCTTGCTGTTAAGCGCAGACTTGCATGTGAGATGGTGAAGTATTGGCAGCAGGTACGAATGTCAAGTGCTTATATACAGCATTTACTACATAGTTATGTTCAATCTGAGGCACCTATCAATCATTTTCCCTTTTGGGTTTTGATTTGTATATGGGACTGAAAATTTTCAAACTAGTGCTTTAATCTGATCGGTATATCTAGTGTGAACCTTTTTTTTTTGGGGTGAATTAATGTGAACTGTTATTGTAGAGCTTGTTGTGGATCCCTTTGTTTGCTTTCATTTGCTGGATTGGCTGATTTTATTTGCATATAAAATTTCAAATTCTATTATACTCTTCCGATCCTTAATATAAAACCTATTTAACTAATTTGATTAGATTAAAGAAGTCAGGTAAGTTAGTTAATTATAAGAAATATGACATGTTTTTCCTAAGAAATACTCTTCCGATCTTTAATATAAGACCTATTTAACTAATTTGATTAGATTAAGGAAGTCAGGTAAGTTAGTTAATTATAAGAAATATGACATGTTTTTCCTAAAACTTCATAATAATCTTTCTTAATATCCTCTTTCCTTCTTCTACTTGAGGGAGTATCCATAGGGGTAATTTAGGAAAAATTAATGAATATGAGAAATAGGTCTTATATTTAGGGTCAAAATCAACTTAACAATTAGATCCTATATATAGGACCAGAGGAGTAGTATAAATTTGTTTAAAATTGTATTAATTATTAAACACTTCAAAAGCCGTCAGTTTCATTCAGTCTTCCTGATCACTTTGCCCTGGCTTTGCATTGCATAAGGTTCTTTTACCTGAGTTCTTTTCTGTAGATGCATTTTCTGTTTTCCTGAAAGTAATCTCATCCTACTTTTGAGTATTTTGAGTCACTGGGAAAGTGATTCTTTATGTGATAAATACCCAAATTTCTCAAATTGGTGCTTACTATATTTTGGGTTACTGATTAATTGGTGCCTCAGTTATTTAATTTTGCATTTTTCCTTTTTTAGGGGACCTTCCAACTTTTTCCCCTTGATTCTGCTTATTTAACATTCTTCTTCTGATACAAATATTTGTTTATTCTACATTGCTGTATATGTGTTTGTTCTCCAGTACTATAAAATAGATGCATTTAATCAGGATACATTGTCTTGTTTGCTCTATTTATTGTACAGGCTCAAGATAACATCATGAATCTTCCCTTAACTAATGGTTGGGGTGAAAAGCATCGTATGTTTGTGAAATGGAAGTATGTTGAAGCAAAGGTATACATTTTTTTATTTTACTTTTGGGTTGTTTGCATTTTTCGCTTTTTCTTGGCGAACTGGAGCTATGTTCAGTCAAATGGATTTGATTTTAGGGTTATTTCCTTCTTTCTTTTTAATACTGTCGTACAGTATAGTAATATGTGAGTCTTCAGGGTTCAGAGTAATAAGAGAAAGAGGGAGAAATTTGCTGGTTGATTGATAATCTAGTGTAAATGATAAAAGTGCTGCTTAAATGACAAATTGGATCGAATAGTTGTCTACATCTCGAACTATAAAGACACGAGGTTTAGGGAAACTAGTATATAAATTTTGAAGACTGAGTTATTGGAACTTAGAAGTGGCCAAAATGATGTTTGATTCGTTGTACCTATGTACACAACAAATGTACTTCTGTCCTGTGGCTGAAATCCGATAAAATGTTTTCTTAAGTTGATGCTAATAAACTGGCAGAATAGGGTGTTGAGTCAAGTCATTAGTCGTTACTGTTTTTGCGAAGCAATATATTACATTCTGGGTCTATATGATAAATAAATAATGAATGTCCAACGGTTATTGGATATGAAATATTTGTAAATAAATTAGTGAATATGTTTTCCAGGTCTATGGTATAATTACATTATATTTTCATCTATCAGAATATTAAAGTCTGATGAAAAAGCGGCACAAATATTTGTTTTCATGGTTTGTATCCTGTCTGTTCTTTTCAGGGCTTCTCTGGGACACCCCCCCCCCCCCAAAAAAAAGAAAGAAAGAAAGTTGCCATAATTCACATGCTAATTTTTTATCCGTTGAGGGCTAATACAGTTTTTTTTTTGGTGCTGATGTCAGCATATTTGCTTTCATTAAGTAGGCAGCGGCTTTCTGCTTTGTTAATGTGTACAACTAAAAGACTAATTGGTTTTTATATCTTGAAGACTCTGACCATAATTTTGGTTCTCTGTTTTTATAAGTGTGTTCTTTCCTTGTGACAAAACTGAAGATAATTTGGACATAAGGCAAATTATCCACATAATAGCGGTGATGTGTGAAAGACAAAATTGTTGTTCTGATTGTTTTTGGGAAAATGCTTATTATTGCCATCAACTTTTGGGCTTGGACGATTAGGCTTCTCAACTTCCAATTTGGTTACTTAAACTGTTCAACTTTGGAAATCATTTCAATGTCTTCTTTTTGCTGTTTTTTGTTAGTCCAGGTTACCTTCAATGCCCCTGTACCACACTCGAACTTCAATTTTTAAACCACCAATTGGCCAAGAAAATTATGTTTGAACAATCCAGTCACCTGTTAATGTCTTGGTGGAAAAGAAAATTTCATACTTAGAAACCATCATGTCAAAAAATTAGCTATTTTTTGTCCGGATGGACAGATTATCTAGTGATCAAAGCTTTATCTGCCAGACCTCCACGTGCAGAGGGGTGGCATAATTAGCTAATTTTCTAACCGAAAATTAATTGAGAATGAGCATGTAAGATGCACTCAACGTAAATAAATGATGTGAAGTTGTTCATATTTTGTTTTTCTTCACCAGGCAGCAGCATATTATTATCATGGTTTGATCCTTGACGAGGGAAACACGGAGAAGTCTCATGGGATGGCTGTAGCTGCTCTACAAGCAGCAGATGAGTACTTCAAAGAAAGTAAGAGGCTGTGTGAGATGTTCAATGCAGCACCTCCATTGTCAAGGTCTCTTCTGTTCAAACGCTACAACACTCTCCCCCATAGTCTAAACTTCCTAAACCAGCAGTTAAATCATGAGTCATGTCTTTTCATATTATTTGGTGGCATCTCTAGTTATTCCGTCCTCTCTGGATTTTAGAAAAGCATTCTGCAAGCATCATTCACATTTGCCATTGTTTTCTTTATGTTCTGAGCTTAGTTCATCTAGGTTCTCACATGACCTTGCTCTTGATTAATTTGCATCTCACGAAGATAATAGTAATAAGACTAGCAGGTCATACACTTTTTTGTACAGCCCGCCTAACTAGAAGTCTTGGTGCAGAAATCCGCCGGTTTGGGGGACCATGAAATATCTCTCCGAGAAAATTCCCAAGGATACTTCAAGCAAGGTTCGAATAAACCGAGATCTATATTCTCATGAGAGGTAAAATTTTCTAAGCTCCATTGCTAAATTGTTGTTTAATGCAACTCCATTATCATGCTTGGTTGACGCATGGAAGCATGATGACCTAATCATAATTGTATCTTGTCAATTTGCGTTACAGAATCATGGAGACAGCACCAACATTGCCTGACTTCGCATTGGCCTTGAAACCAGATGAATATCAGCTTCCTCAGGTGGATCCGTCCTGGCAAGGGGAGACCATAAAAGGGGGACAAACTGGCCCCAACAATCTCAAGGGTGACAGTAGATAAAACCTCAAAAAATTTGCATATTTTAAAGATTCAGAGGTTGCCAACTTAAAGCTTAAGAGGGTGATTTTTCAGTCGTTGTCAATAGAAAAATGAGTTTCTTGGCTTCTCTTTCCCTTGTGCCTTTTTCCTCCCTCCTTAATATATGAAAAATGCCCAAAAAATAGAGCTTTGAGTGGTGTCTATAATATTGATGGTCTGGTTCAGGGAAAAGAGGGTTCCTTGCCAATACCCAAATAATGTTATTGGTATTTATTTCAAAGTAAAGCCGGTCAAATGCTCAATTTGGTAAATCCAAGTTTGTGCGAGTGATTGTGTGGAAAGAAAGTTGACTTGAGCAGGAATGAAGGAATGATTTCATTTGCAAATTCCCATAACTGAAAATTCCCTTTCCCTTCCCTTACCCCCGTTTAAATTCCCACATATCCTATCCGCTTGTAACTTGTTCCCTTTCTATCTTGCTGTTTTGTTTTGCTCCCCTCTTAACTGTCTTGCTTCTTTCTTCTTATTGAACAATGGAAAAGTTTGCTCTGTACCCAAAATTAATATCATGATCAAGATTTTAAAGTAGTTATAACATTTTAATTGTTAGTTTAGTTTCGTCCCCTACTATTATCCAATCATGAGGTCTCATACTCTTCAATTAAGGGTATGTTTCAAACCATAGAAAGAAATGAAAAAAAAAAAAAAAAAGAGATGAAATTGGAAATATTTATGATCTCAATTTTCAAAATTCTAAAAATATAATAAAAAAGAATATTATTGAGTAACGATAATAAATGCATAATAAATCTTGTACAACTTCCTTTTTTGCTTCCACTCTTTCAAGAGGATCAAATGCGTCGTGTCATTCACATAGAAAGAAAATCATTGGCGTGAAGAGAAGTATTAGTAGATTCATTAAAATTTGAGATCTTAATAATCCTATCCACTGGGAGGCGAAACAAGAAGTTCAAATCAAATGAATGCTAATAGTAATTAAAAAAAAACAGAAAACAAAATAAAGGCAAGGAAATGCTTCTATGTTAACATATCATTCAGAAAAAGAATGTTTCAATATAAAAACAAGGGATATATTCCAATAGACTGCAACTAAAGGGCAAAATCTATATAAATAAAGAATACGACAACTCAGGTTATGAAAAATTAAAGTTTCAGTCGGAATTTACAGTTGCTAGCTTTGATGCTTATGAGACTATTAGCAGATAAGCTATCAACCACCAACATGCATTTCCCCAAGATTCTGACCTTCCTCAGCTTCAAGCTCCCAAGTTTGATAGCTACTGGTGCCTGTATCTTAAGATCCAATGGAACTCTTCCTGTCTGTTGCTGCTGTTGCAGGGCAGCCATTAATGTGGTTCCTGATTCCACTTGCCCACTCAAGGACACATCAAGCACTGTTCTGTTCCGATGACCTTGGTAGAATATGGGCAGTGACCCTTCACAAAGCTGAGTTTTTGTGAACCATACACTTAGCCTTCCTCCTTTCTCATAGTAAATTCCAATATTCTCGTTGGGGTTGTTTGCTGTGATCTTCACATCAAACTTTGCATCCAGGGTCATGTCCAAGTTCAGCCTCAGATCACCTATCCTTAGGCTTTCGACTGAGTAATTGGGTAGCTTTGGCTTGAAAATAAGGTAAAGGGCTCCTAAAGTTGCTCCCAAGATGATGATGAGAATGAGAAGCAAGCTTAGGGTCCAACAAATGCACTTGCAGAAGCAGCCTCCTCCTCTCTTTGGTGGTGGTATGGACTGTATTACTGGAGGCATCAGTGGTGCTTTTGGCGGCCGCGGCGCTTCTGCACTCACCGGAGTTGCTGTGTGGATCGTCTTCTGATGATAAGCCATGAATGAGTGCTCTTCTGTGTCAAGCTATTGTATATATGATTATGGGATGACAAAGCAGTGAGGTGCAAGGTTTTGCTACCTTATTCCATCTACTTATTTGGCAATTTTATTGTGAATATACTATCGCTGGGAGGTGAGCTTCCTTACCTAATATTACAAGATAAGGAGCCAACAAGCAAATAGTATAAAACTGGTAGTTCATCCAAAAGCATAACGGTCGTTGAGTGAATACAAAAAGAACGAGGAAGTTTCTGTTGTTTTGGGTTCAAGCATCGTACGCTGTAAATTATGTTTTTTCTTAAATTAAAAACAAGAGCCTCTTTTTGTATCAAATCAGTGGAAATTTGGCTATCACCCGAAACTCCGGTTTGACCAGGCAACGACTGAAGGAGAAAAAGAAAACTGGAGTGCCACGTGGTATTGGTATCAGTTTTAGTTTAATTACACTTGGTTTTTGATGGGCCCTTATCTGATGGGCCAGGTCATGTGAAGTGTGTGAGGTACTTGTGTGTTGTCGTTGTTTGCTTTATTTTCATTTTTGTGGGTGCGGTGGCATCTCAGGAGGTTCAACGGAAGCTAAGCAGTTGTTGAGTTTGTCAGGGAGAGTCTATAAATATGAAACCATTTTTTTTTTAACCATATGAAACCATGTACAATAATGATGCATCTGACAAATCAAATAATGAACTACTTTGACTAATTGATACGGTAATATTTCGCTAATCACTTATAAATTGAATTGATGGAACATTACCAATCTCTTGTATGTGCATACAATACTTGAGCATAATAGTAGTAACAATAGTAATATCATCACATAAATACAAAATTTTCCTAACATTTTCCCGAAACTTTAATACAAAAGGAAAATAAGCATGCTCCAATACAGTGAAAAAATTGCTGTTTTTTTCCAATGGAACTTTTGAAATTTCGGTTAGGGCTCCACTCCAAACGCACGTACAATTTGGACATGGATGTTGTCAACTAAAACGAGACTACTAAACATAACCATTATCTTCATTTCTTGACCATAACATAGAGAGCAACACGATTGCTGCGATAATCAGGATGCCATAGAGTTTGATCCACACGCCCAATTTCAAAATTTTTCATTGCTGCTTCAATGAAGTACTCAAGAATGGCATCTGAAATCATATTCATTATTCACAAGTCAATACTATGTTTGAAATGATGGGTTGGAGTAAAAGGAGAAAAAGAAGATATTTCACCGTTTCGTAGTTCCCCAGCCAAGAATATTGTTGTTTTGGTTCCAGAGAGCTGTCCAAGAGTCACTAGCAAATCTACAACAGCGTTCTCACTATATACCACATCAGATCCTAGCACTGAAAAGAAAAAATTAAAAATGGAATCTGAAAAAGTGAATCACATGATTATCTGAAAAATCTGCATTTTTCATCATAAGTTCACTTTTAGAAAGGCGTATTGCTTCAGCATACGAAAACCTTATGATGCCGCACAAAAAATTTCGCATGGAAACATTAAAGTTTACATTTGAATGGTATTATAAGCTAATACTAATCTCAGCAAAATAGTGAATATTTAGCAAAAATACTCTGATTAGAACCTTTGATAATAAGTAAATGGCAGTGACAGTTAGGCATGAAAGACACCAATAAATAAAAACGAACCAAACTAAAAATTAGAGATAGAATATAATGATTACAAATCTACAATCAAGAGTGATATGAATGATGCCATTTCTCCAAACTTGCTGGAGCCAATAGTTAGATCTCGTCTATTCCTTGTTAGGATGATATGGCTAAGGGTTATTACCATAATCAGGTGCGGGTTCAGTGAGCTCTAGGTCAGGATCTTCGCCCCATATGAGTTCTGTAGCTGTTGCTGTGCCCCGCACATCCACATGTTTAATGTTAGTTTCAATGTTCTTTCTAAGAAGCCTCAGCCTATCAGGCAAATCAGTAAGAATGACTTGACCACCCAGAAGAGCTGCAATGAAACTGAGGAAGAGAAAATAAGAACAATGAAATACAGACTTTGAAAAAGGAGAAGGAAAACACATCTTTTAGTTGCTGGTCAAATAACCAGGACATTAATGTGGAAGTTCAAAGCTCTAGCATCGAAAATAATTGCTTGCATTCAAGAATTCATATTCTCATTTAGCTTTGCCCCTTGAATTTTCTACCATACATCATGAATTGGTTTTTAAAAGTATCAACTTCTTGCAGGTTAGTCCTTCCAAATTTTGCTGATGGACATCTCCCAAGGGTATGGCATGGGATTCTCTTGCACAGCACATGACTTCATGTCAGACAGAAGAGTGATGAATCAAATTTGTTCACTTTTGGATTGTTTAGATTAAGGAAAAGGACTCTAAACTTCCGTGTACCTTTTCTAAAACAGAAATCTTTGCTTAATCAAACCTTAACAGATGATGTATACATTGATATGTCAGCTGGATCAATCAATGGCAACAAAATTTTGACGGAAGCTATGTGACATTTGGTGGAATGACTAACTAGGAATGAGTCAGACATGTTGTAGAACTAATCTGCGCATTCCAAAATATTAGAGGACTAAAAAGCTAAGCAGGTCTACAAAGTGGGGGCTGAACTCTTAGTCTATTTCATCCCTTTTAATATAGAAATTGTTTAGAGGTCTTAAAAGTTTCATTGAAAACATTATAGCAATATGCCCAAATTGATCCACATATCGTTGACTGGCTGAGATAGGGGAGTTTATATGTTCTTACCCAACCAAACCACAACCGGATCCCAATTCAACAATCTTCTTGCCTTGAAGAACAAGCCTCCCTGAGTCAACAGAATGTTCTAGAAACTTCCCCAATACAACTCCACTGTCCCACATCACCGAACCAGTCACTCCAGGTGCACTCTTAAATAAAAAAGTTTAAAAAGCCTTAACTGTGAACTGAAGTATCAGCATTGTTATTGGCGATTAGAAAATTTACATTTCATGCTTGAAACTAATCATCTGTGCTCGTGAGACATAGTGATTGAAGCAAAAGCTGTTCATGCATGTCTCAATCATGATATACGGTTGATTCTTATCCTTAGCAAAACTGCTGACATAAACACAGCTTAATTTCGAATAAGACATAGTTAAAACTTCACCAATACCATTTTTCTTCCTTTCTTCCCCCTCTGGATTTGAATTTCCTTGTTTTTTTTTCCTTTGCAAATAAAGAAAGTAGCAATTTCACTTTACTCATTGCCCAACTAAAGTAAGTGGGAATTACTGACCTAATCTTTAAACCTAACATTTTCCATTTACTGACAGGTCTAATATGTTCAGAGGTATCCTGAATTAGTCTGCCAATACATCATAACGGTTTTGGCCATTAAAAAAAAAAAAAAACATCATAACCGTTAGGCGGCTGAAATTAGGAATATGCACACAATTCATCTAGCAGCTCGTTTAATCGTTAATGCAGCTATGACAATGAATTACGACTTCAAGAAGCAGAACCATGTAACCTGACCAGTGATTTTACGCTATATGAACATTAGCGCCCCCCCCCCCAAAAAGGAGAGAGAGAGATCACAACAAAAGCATCAACCATAGGGCTACCAGCTCCTGGTATTGAAAACAACATAGGAGCACCATTTCAATCGCCCGACTACCTGATTTCAATTTCTTAAATTATATGACCATTCTATCAACTAAAATGTCAGACTTGCATTGTGTTGTGGTTGCTAGCTTGGTATAGAAAAAGGAAGATTAAGGATTGCATACCAAGGAAGAAGGGGATTGAAGAATGGAGAGAGAGTGGCCGCAGGAGTCGAGACGCAGGTTCAGAGAAGATTGGGAGACGAACGCGTTGGGTTTGGAAAGAGTAGGCTGTTGGATTGCCCAGAGAAGCATGATCTCTTCCGCAGCAGATTCCTCCCCTTCAGCCAGCAATCTCACCTTCCCACCGTACGAACCCAAATTTGCCATTACCGCCTCCTCCTCTTCCCCTACTACTTCATATCCCTCCGATTTTACCTCATCACTAGTCATCTTGCTGCTTGCTCGTCCCCGGCCTTGCCTTCCCACTACGAATGTTTTTACGTTCGGCAAAATTCTCCTAAAATTTCATATTTACAAATTTGTCCCTGAGGTGACTAAGGGTGTGTTTGGTATGAGGATTTGGGAGGGAGGGGAAGGAAAGGGAGGGATTTTAATCATTTCCCTTTGTTTGGCAACACACAAATTTTAGGAGGGGAAGAAAAAAATTTTAAAATTTCCCCTCCCCTCCCGTCCAAAATTAGGAGGATTTGGAGGGAAAGGGCAATATTTTGTCATCTTATAATTATTATGCCCATATTTTGTCATTTTGTGACCATTATATCTATATTTTATCATGTTGTGACCATTATGCTCACGTCTTAAATAAAATAAGAGCAAATTGTCCATATTAAAATATTTTTCCCTCTCCCCCCTCTTTTTTTATAAATCCAAACAAGATAATATTAAAATCTTTCCACTCCCCTCCCCTTCCCTCCATTAAAATCCCTCCCTTCCCCTTCCTCTCATTGAGCCAAACATTACCTAAAGTAAAAATTGATCGCCTTGGCACAAAAAAAAAAAAAGAAGCTAAAAATCGGTGTCAAAAAAACCTGACTTGTAAATATGTTAGTATTAAATAAATCTTGATGACTTATTTGTTTTTAATTTTGTTACCTAGGCCTGTACGTAATTTTTCCCAATTTTTAATATTAAGTATTTTTTTAATCCTAAATTTTTTATTACTAATTTGATTTTACCCTTCATGCTCCAGGCATATATACATGGATCCTTCCGCAATTAAAAAGGAAAGCTCCACTCTTTGAAGAAAGTTTCGGCCAAGAACGGAAATCTAATAACGTTGGATCACTGAAGTCACAAGAGAATTTGATTTTAATGAAATTACCCGCTTTTGTGCTGTTAACCTCTCATTTATGAGACTCATGCAGCAAAATGACAATCAACTTAAGAATTAAAGAATCCTACGGCAAGTTTCGCACAAAAGATTGTTTTACCATAGGAAAACAATTCCCAAGGCTGCTTCAAACTCTTGTATGTTATATACAAAGTGTGAGTCGTGGTCTCGTGGAACATTTTACATACAAGAAGAGGTTAAAAAAAAAAAGAAAGAGCTTAAGCTATTTGTCTGAAAATCTTGAAACACATCATTCTTGAGAGAACTGAGTGAACCCTCAGCAAAAAAGGGGCAAGACAGAGAGATATACATGGTGAGATGTTTCAGTTTCAGTTGGTTTCATGATCATGGCATCTGGTTAGGCGAATTTCGAAGCCGTTCACTAAGCGAGCAGAGGGAAAGAAGGACATCCTATCTTCCTTCTCTTGTGTCCATCTGTTCAAAACATCTGAATACATCAGCTAATTATTCAATCATTCAGAATTCAAACATTTCCAAGTAGAGATGGAGAGAAAAGGCAACACCTATATGTAGTTACAAAGTAATGAAGAAAAAGGGCAATTTGAAGACGAGCCAGCTCTGCTCCAGGACAGAATCTAGCACCTCCTCCGAAGGGTGCATAGAATGGACTGCTCCTCCAGTTCCTCTTTTCCTTCATAGAAACCATAGGAGTCAGAAAAAAGAAAGCTAATGAAAATGAAGGTATATACGAAACTGAACATATTTTTTTGTACGTTGCAGAGCCTAAGGGATTACTATATTGCTGTATTTGATCGGGCAGCATGAATCCACCAATGGAGTACGTGGACTAACCTCATTTCCAGGGTCCATCCATCTCCATGGATTGAAGTCTGAAGCTCCTCTGTACACATTCTCATCCAAATGAACTGCTGAGAGAAATGGAACCACAAAGCATCCCTTTGGTATCACAAAATCTATACAAAAACAGATAAAGTGTTATATGCCAAGACGCGTATAGATTGAAAGCCACAGAAAATAAGTCAAATGTTTAGTCAGTAGATGAAGTAGAGTTGTGTCTGATTCAAGGGAAATAGATTAGTTGTCTGTCTTATTTTATAACTTTCACATATTTATTTAATATGAGCAGTGTGATAATATCGATCCACCACAAGTATAATTCATCAGATAGGTTGTATTGTATACCTTGGTAGTTAACCTCTTCTTTTGCTTCTCTCAGTAACCAAATGGCAATACCCCCAAGTCTCAATGTTTCATCAATCACCTGTAGTGGAAGATAGCATGAGATTTTATAACACAACATTTATCAGATGAAGCATCTCACCAAACTTAACCAATTTTGAAAACCACTACAGCATCAAATACTTACACATTGAGTGAATGGCATTGCTTTATAATCTTGCCAGGTAAGCATTTCTCCTCCTCCTGAGTTACTCCTCACAGATTCTTGCTCATCCTATTCAAGATACCAACTTATAAGAACAATAAAATAGAAAAAATTATTACCCTAATTACTTGAAGTCAAGGAAAGTAGTTCTGAACTAACTAGTTCTCATACGGTTAGAACTTAGAAGTACCAGTATCTGTTTCAAGGCTTTAGGGCAATGAGTGAGGAAATAGACTGCGAAAAGCATTGTTTTAGTGGTAGTTTCATTCCCTGCAAATAGAAGATTGATGATGAAATCTGCAATTGCATCATCCGGTAAGCTTTCTTCCTCCAGCAGTCTTCCAAGCACACCATTACCTCCTCCTGCAGGACCTTGTCGCCTGTATAATTCTATGGTCTTGTTTATCTTGCCTATAATTTTCTCCCTTGCCTGATAAAAGCCTAAGAATGTAACTTCAACAGAGTTTGACCAGTGATAATCCCAAATAGATCATAGTAACTTTTAAATCGTAAACTCCCAAGGGAAAAATTTCAGTGATATCTTAAGTTTCCCCCATTCAATAACTTCTCTATGCTACTTTAAAATGCAAGCAGAACTGCAAAATTAAGCTCATGGTACCTTCATAGCAGTGTGGTATGTAAACCCTGGCATGTTGACAGGAAAAGATAAACAACCATCAACAAAATCAGAAAACAGTTGAGCCATTTCATTGACTTGAGATTCACTCGACACTCCCAATAATTGATTAACCATTAAATTTATGGCCACCTGCAGCAAATCGTACAGAGATTAATTGATCTGATTCATATGCACTGCATGCTGGTTATGTCTAAGATTGTACACGTGTACATCAAGAACTGTGAGAACTTGCCTTCCTGCAAACATCTTGGAGGATGACGACTTGATTGCTCTTGAAATTGCCTAGAGTTTGAAGCATGACCTTCTGAATATCATTCAAGAAATGGAACTTTAGCTTCTCTAAGCGCATCATGTTGGAGGCAATCCCATGCAGCTTCCTTTGCTGTTCTCCTTGCACTGTGATCACACCATTTTTACCAACCAAATCTCTGAATGATTTTGGGTAACTCGACTGAAATAATTTCCCTTCGTTTTGCATCACAAAGCGGTTGAAGCTAGGATCTGCTGACACCACGGCCCATTTCCCAAATAGGCTGCAAGAAAATATCCTACCATACCTATGCCAAAGGATCAATTTTTCATCAAACACTGGTTTTTCACAAAAAAATCTGAGTCTTTTGACAGAGACTCATCGGCTTCCACAGTTTGTTTCTAATAAATATGATTGTTTTACGATCTAAATGAAGTAAATTCAAAAGAATGATTTTGTTCAAATTGTTGTTCATCAGCCCTGCTAATGAAATATCAACTCATGCAAATTGGGACAAACATCATCGAATAAAGCGCGCATTTACAACTTTTTCATTGAAACCTTTTCATATGTTACAATATAATGTTCTTTTCTTGCAAAGGAAGCAAGTACCTGTGAACCATTTCTTCAACAAATTGAGGAGGATGAGAACTTGCAACTGCATTGTACCAATTGATGCTGTCACCGATCAAAGGCCAGCCTCTTCTTCCCGGAGGCAACCGCCGTGTTCTTTTCTCTGCCTTCTTCAACTTCGATTGTATTAGTTTTGTAACAACCAGAGTGATCAAAAGCGCCATAAATGTAACTAGCCATAGCTCTGGATGATTTTCTCTCATTCTTTTGAGAAACAAAAGGAGGGACAATAGGTAATCACAGATCCACCTGTTGCCAGAAGCAAATTTATTGTAGATAATGAGACAAACATGATCATTGATAATCAATTGTTCAATGGGAACATAGATTAAATACTACAAAAGAAGGTAGAGAAAACAATATGAAAAGGAAGGTTTGATATCTGGTTATGCGAGGTTGACTTTGTGAAGATCTGATAGTGCCACGTCAACTTATTTGTTTTCTACGAACAAATCGTTCACAGAATCTATTATTTAAAGCAAGTTTGGATGTGGAAAGAATCATACCAATCAATATATTATAAGCCAGAAAAAATTGATTAACAAGTTGGAACGCCATTAGAAGCTCGAGCTCAAAAATGGCTAATCATTCGTGTCCATTTCTAATATGCATTTCAACAAACATGTAAAATTCGTAAAAATATAACTAACACTTTCTTCTTTTCTGAACGAACAAGCCTTACAATATAGCATCGATGAGTAATAATCAGAACCAGTTATGTTTTCTATGAAAACTAAAGCAAAAAAAATCAGAAAGTGCAGCTAAGCAACAATCATTATAACAAAGTCACTGACCAGAAAGCATGGCATTTCCTTGTGATTCTGCAGATAAAGTAATATAGACACTATGCGTACAAACACAGACAAAGAATCTGAGTCTGCTGGATCATACTCTGCAATCTCAGCTAAATTTGGAGGGGGGGAGAGAGAGAGAGACAAAGAAAAAGAAGAAGAGCTGCAAAATTTATAGTCTGAAAATAAGGGACTGTAGAAGGTCCAAAAAAGAGCTTTTGGGAAGGTGCATTAATAGTTTCCGGTGGCACAAAATGAGGAGCATATTGATCGTCCACTAGCAGAGATGGTCGTCAATAAAAAAAAGATAGCTTCAAGTTTGACTTTTCCTCTTTACGCCAGGCAGCTCATTTTATAGCTTCATTTATAAACAATATGTTAACTGATTTGCCGATGAAGTTTTTTTTAAATAGAAAATTCTAGATTTTTTATTTTATTTACAAGTCACTCTCAACATATTTTATCAAAATCAGAAAAACATTAAAACTCATTAATTATGCTTTAAAATTTAATAATTTTTCAATTTTACTTTTATTTAATATACGTTATATCTCGTGAAAACAAAATCTACGTAATAATAAATTAAGAATAAAATTATACGTTTGTTTAACAATTATATCTAACTAGCCTTTGACACCACTTGAGACCTATTATAAAACCTAAATCAGGTGTATTCCTGCACTGTAGTCACATTTAAATTTGTCTGTACACGTAAATCAATTAATATCAAATAAAAAAAAACAATGTGGTAATTTGAATTTAGATTAAGCCATATGTCCAATATAATTTGTCTATAATTCAATCAATTTAGAATTTGTAATCAATGACCTTAAAATGCCAATTTCTTGTCAAAGATCAAATTCAAAGATTACATAGTTATCAATGGTATTTTCAGAAATTATGAGTCATATTTATACTATTAATATTATATAATTTTTTAGATTTTTATATTTTATACTAGTCTTGACTTAAAATATGTTCATAACATCCAAAAGATCATGTCACAACTTTTGAATGCTTCAATTATTTGCACCTTCAAAAGCATAGACAATATCAATAATATTTAAGTTGAATGAAAGGGATTAAATTCTTTTGAAGAAAACCTGGAAGTTTGAACCATATGAATGAAAAAATGGTGCTAGGAGAACATCTCAAATGAGGTTGATAATACTTGAATTTGATCTGACATCTCATTTCAGAAAACGGTATAAAAAAATATAACAACCTCAGCGCTTTGATTTACTTATATATGATCATAGAACCAAAACTTGAATCAAGAAATTTTCAAGAAATATTTATAACTTAGATCAGTATGTCAATTATTATTATAGCACAGGGTAAAGCTTTTTTTTAGGTGAAATCATAGTGTTGCTGAGGTCTGAATGAATGATTTTATTGGAAATGAAAACTTTGGAGTGATTATTTTATGGAGCCACAAAACGGATGAGTCAAAGCAGTACAAAAGGCATTTTTGAATCCTTATTTTCAGGCTTCTTTCCAGGAATCAGTGTCCCTAAAGCCATGCACTTAATTATTAATTTATGATTTTATATAATTGTTGAAGCCTCATATATTGGGGTTGGCCGTTTGGGTATATTTTGGAGGTCCCTATATATTTTTAAAATTTTTAATTGTGTCTATATATTTTTTCTCTTAATTAAATTTTTAATTTTGTTTTATTAATATCGTTAATACTTGCATAAAAATTAAAAGTGATAATAGAACATAGTTACAAGAGCTAATATTATTTTTTAAAAATTAAATTAAATTATTTAATTAAGAATAAAAAAACACATAAGTACCAAATTAAAAATTAGAAAAAACTCTAAGTACCTCCGATATGGTTTTTCTAAATATATATTATATATGCCAGCAAGAACAAGCCTAGCAATACCACGGACCAAATTTAACGTAGTAATGTTCTTATGACAAATTTCATAGTTTTAGTCATGAATTTTTGAAGAACTCACACGAAATTGTGATTAATTTTAGTAATTAGTTGACTCATTTGTTGTAAAAATTTTAATCTTCACTTTCATAGATTATTAGTAATTAGTAACTAGACTATGAGCCCGTATTTTGCAGGAGCCTAAAACAAATCACATTTGCCATTTTGATATTTTATATTATATTCCTGCTATCCTTAATATAGAGCTTAATTATTGAGTTGATTTTGATCCTAAATATAAGATCTATTTCTTATATTTATCAATTGGCCCTAAATTACTCTAATGGATACTCACTCAACAATAATCAAGTAAAAGAGGGAGAGAGGATATTAAGAAAAATGATTATGATATTTTAAGAAAAACATGTCATATTTCTTACAGTTAACTAACTTACTTAACTTTCTTAATCTAATCAAATTAGTTAAATAGATTTTATATTAAAGACCAGAGGAGTATTATTTATAGAAGCTATTAGTCCTTTTAACAATTGTAATTATATCATAGTTTTTTTTTTGGCTAAATACATGTGTTTCTATTAGAAGTCGTCCTATTTAAAACACCGTTGAATACTAAACATGTGTGTCTTCCTCAAAGGGAATTCCAACCTTAGTGATGGTTAAAAGTTAAAAGAAACCGCGCGTTTTATAATAATGTGCCGGGCCAGACATTTATTCGTTAGTTTTATATATGTTTGATTTAATGATTTAATTAAAATTTAGATTAGACATTATCAATTTAATTAATTAAAAGCATTGTGAAAATTTAATTAATTAAAAGCATTGTGAGAGTTTAACTTGAAATCATTGATTGGGCTGCTAAAAATCATTAAATTTTCTAGAAATCGACTAAATTGTTTAACAAAAACAAAATTTTGGATGTAATTTAAAAGCTACTTCATCACTAGGGGTGGAAACAGGCCAGGCCAGGCCAGGCTTTACCCTTAACAGGCCAAGCCTGTATTTCAGCTTGTTGGCCTGAGCCTGGCCTGTGGCCTGAGCCTGGCCTGTGGCCTGTGACAGGCCTTATATTCAGCCTAAGCCTGACCTGTGCAAAAGCCTGGCCTGACCTGAAGCCTGTTAAGAAGCCTGTATTTTTTTTAAAAATATTTTAAACATATTTAAATCAACTCAAAATTATAATAACTCAATCCAAATTATCTAAAATACAAACATAAAAATTATCTAAAATATTTAAGTGAAAAATATTTAATATTCAAATGGTAGTATATTATTTTGTTGTTCATGTTTCAAATTATATTATTTAAGTGAAAAATATTTAATTACTTGAGGAGAAGATGTAGTTAAAATGGTCACAATACAAGGGATAAATAGAAATCAAATTCATAGAGGGGTTATTTCTATTGTCAATTGTTGGTGATGTACATTAGAAAAACTAAGTAGTTTTGTATAGGTAAATAAAAGTCAAAAATGACAAACACGAAATCATCATTGGGCAGTAGGATTTGAATGAATAACAAAGTGCATATTATAGAAATCATCATCCAAGGTATATTGAAGAGTAATCCAAACATGGTCTTATTCAAGATAAAAATGTGGTATTAGGCATATTACAATATTAATCAAAACATGGTAGTATTTTAAAAAAGTTAATTATAAATTTATAATTATAATATTTTAAAAAAATATAACAGGCTCAGGCCGCCTAACAGGCTTATTAAAGAGCCTAGGCTTGGCCTTTTAAGAGAAACAAGCCTTTAAAAAGGCCTGAGCCTGTTTTAATTTGGAAATAGGCCAGGCCAGGCCACAGGCCCCTGACAGGCCGCCTGGCCTATTTCCACCCCTATTCATCACCATTAAAATAAGGGCGGGATATCACATCGGAATGATATTCTTTTTTTTTTTTGCCAGACATATTGGAATGATATTTTATACAAACATATATATATTTATATATAAAATAAAGGATGTCTGATTTAACAAAAGGTGATGAGGACTAGCACGTTTCTTGTTTATATGTAAAAGCCACCATATTAATTTATGTAACAAGCATCTTATTAATTAATTAATTAAAGGTTACATAATACAGAAGAAATGTATATGTGATGTTAGAGCAGTCTTGAAGAATCAGCTTCGAGCTGTCATTCTTCAATAATCTTGAATTTTATATACAGTAAGCTAATTTGGAAAGTTGGCAATTTAAATAATGTATTTAATTATGATCGTATCTTTGTTTGATGTAAAAGCAACACAAGAACACTATCCTGTAATTTGCTATTTCTCTCACTTACTTACTCTCTTATAAATAAAGACATATTTTAAGAAAAATATATATTTCTTATTTTTAACTAATATTAACATAGTATTTTTTAAATCACCTAATTCCATTATTTGGATTTTATAAAAAGACAAAGGGAGTATTAGTTAACTCAAGCAACCAAAAGATAGGACATCAAATCCAAACAAAATCCTCTTCAGCCAATACTGGCAACCTCCTTTATTATTGGACTTGTTTATTTCCATGTGATGATATGCAAGAAGTATAGATTATGGAAAAACAATCTCTGTGTGTGTGTGTGTGTGTGTGTGTGTGTGTGTGTGTGTGAATATGTATAGAACATAAGGGAGGGTGTTATTACGGTTTTTCTGTTTCATACTCCGTCTCAATGGGGTCTCGTCGAGGAAGGAGACATAATTAAGATGAAACAAGCACATCCCATCTTTTTTTTTTTTTTTTTTTTTAAGAATTTGCATTATTTTTTTAGTGTCAATACAAATTTTAGTTATTCAAGTTTACTCTCATTTTGGTTTTGATTCTTTAAATTTCAAATAATAGGTTTTGGTTTTTGAAATTTTTTTGTTTAAGATATTGGTCTCTATAATCTAATAAAAACTTAGACAATTTTGTACCTTGATAGATCAAAACTTGTGACTTGAAACTTGAAGAACTAAAACTAAAATGAAAAAAATTTGAGGGACCATATATTATATTATTTTTTTAAAAAAACCAAATATACATAGAGCATAAGAACTTATGATAAAAGTTGTACAAAGAAAATTAAAAATAAACAGATAAAAATTGGCCAAAATTAGTAATAATAAAAAAAATTGTGAAAGACAAAACAAATAGGATTAATATAATTTTTGGTCCCTCAAGTTTGTTCTCATTTTG